ACTTTTTAACCTATTGATATTTTTTTATGATGTGAATGGACTTTACCATATGCAGGTAGACCTTTATAGTCAATGTGACAACAATATCCCAGCATGTTTTGTGTTTCCCTTGCAGAAAATCTGGATTATGTTGAAAGAGCTCTTTTCTCTATGGGTAAACCAACTGATTCTATGGTATTAAATCAAAAGGATTGCTGCTAAGTTGTGGTTGTGGTTGGTTGTGTCAATTCTGCAAAGTGAACCTTCACCATCATTTCTTCACCTGCTGTTCAATATTTGAGTCATGGAAAGCTATCATCAGTTAATCATGAAAGCACTTGAAAAGAAGCAGCATTGAAGGTAAGTAAATAAACAAGTGATTTGCTATTGCTCTTAGATAGGTACCAAATATTTATCAGCCATGATTCATTTCATAAATTCTTTGGATACTTTACAAAATGAAATGCATTAAAACATCATTTTTAATTGCCAATTGTTAAAGAGTAGGGCTATTCAAGTAAAAGGACAAATTTTGTTTCTGGCTAGTTATCACTTTTGAAGAAGGTTACTGATACAGAGTTTCTGATATTTTGTGCAGTCATACAGTCATGAATTTCATGTAAATCCTGTGAAATTCAATAAAACCTGCAAAATTCCAGAAAATACACCATAAATCATGCCAAATACATGTCACCACAACATATTTGAAGCTTGTAATATAATTGAACTTACCTTGGCTGTTGGGGCGGTGTACTTCCCAAATAGAAATCATATTAAGGTTCTTGATAGGAATCTTAATAGGATCTTAGCAAGATTCTTGTAAGATTATTATAAGAATCTTATAAGAATCTTAAAATATTCTTACAAGATTCTTACAGGATTCTTAGAAGGATTTTATTAAGGTTCTTACCAAATCTTATAAGATTCCTAGCAAGATCTTAGAATCTTAACAGGATCTTACCCACACTCCTACAAAAATCATAACAAGATTCTTGTGAGATCTCTGTAAGATTCTTACAAGATTCACTCAGGTATCCTATAAGATTCTTATGGGATTCTTATAGGATTTGTACAAGAAATTTCTTTAGCATCTTAACACTGATTCTTGTTTGAATCTTATTAAGATTCCTTGTAGGGTCTTATAAGTAACTCAAACAGAATAACCTCCTCTTCACATCTTTTTTACAGCATCATCACATTTCCAATGCAAACTCAAAACAGGGCATTCCATTTATGAGACATGCAAAATCACAGTTGCCTTTGTTGCTAGAAAAAAGGCAAGAAATTGAATTCATAGAAGTTTCCATAATACATTTGTTGGTTTTTCTGCCAATCAAGCAATTACCCATGATACATTCACCTGATACATTCATAAGAAAGCAGGATCAGAATGTTCCCAAACATGACTAAAATAATCTTGAAACCTTACTGATAGATTTATTTCATTGTAAAGTATATGCTTAAGAAACTGCAGAATGCATGTGACCAACTTGATTCTCAGAATTATTTGAGTTTGAGTTGCACAGAGCTTTAAGTGTTATGTAAGCTTAACTAAACCACAAGGCAGACACAAGGTTGGGGTTCTGGCATTCTTTTTTACAAAGTGTTACTGATAAACATATAACCTTTATTGACATATACAATTAAAACCCTGTAAAATACAATAGCCCAAACCTAATTAGAATGGGACAATGTGATCAGGCTAAAAATGCAGCTTACTGAAGAAGATGGGCAGATTGCACTGGAAGTGGGGGGTAGCCCATATAGAAGCAGAAGCAGAGATAGGTATTGCGATGGGTTTTATAGGTTGCCTTAGTAGACTCGGCAAAGAGCTGTGATCAGAATTTCTGGACCTCGTGGTTGAGTTGTACTGCCAATTTAGGGTCTTGCTGACCTGCAAGAGATGAATAGTTGTGCATGAAGACATGTGACGCAAGCAGAATAGCATTTGCGACCACAGGGGAAGAAGCATCACAGAGAAATGAGTAGAAAGTGAATTGTTCCTCACACTCATGCAGGCATGAAATAGCATCGGCAATAGTATTATGGATGCCCTCTACATAAACAGTGGTGATGTGGAAATTGTAAATTGCCAAATGCCAAGTCTTGCATGATTAGGGTGTAAGCAGTCATGCCCTTGTTGATCATCTGTACAGCGGCTTGGTTATCACTGTAAATGATAATGTGTGGGTCAGACCAGAGCCTATTCCATCATTTAGCTGCAAGACCTATTGCCAGGGCTTCCTTGTTATTGATGTGAAGTGAGTCCCACACTGGGCTATCTGAAACAAAGTGATTGCTATTGGGGACATGTCAGTTGTTACATGGATTTTGGATATCAGATTGTAGAAAATGTCTTTCATTTTTTTAAATTTCAAGTTACAATTTTTCTCTTCCTCCCCCCCCCCTTCATTTTCTTTTTGTATTTGTGTGCAGTGTGTGTGATTTCACAAATTAGCCAATCACATTAAAGAACTTCAACCTTGACATTGGGAAACTGACATGGACGTTTTTCGTGTACTTTTAATTTGTTTTCACAGAGTTTAAGTTGTTTTAGAGCTTTCATTTGTGTAAATTTGTTCTCCTTTGTTTGAAATTCAAAGAAGTTTCAGAGTTTTTATTTTAGCCAAATGTTATGGTTCATTTAACAAGTTTAATACATATTTTCTATGGAGTTTGGATTCTAGTCTCTTTTTCTTTAAATTGATTTGTTACATGGTGCTGAGACCTGGGAATATTAACTCACTGAAGAATTCACTCTCTCTGGAAAAATGGGCAATGAAGAACTGAAAAAGAAGAGAAAGATCAGAGGAGGACATAAAGGATAGGTTATGATGACTCTGGAAAAGGTAAAAGCCTTACTCCATGAATTTGGACTTCCTCTGGTGAATCAATTGAATACTTATCAGATTGCTCTTACAGAAAAACTCAATGTCCTTGGAGCCCAAGATGACAAAATTCTGGCTTTAATGACAGAAGAGCGCATCAAAGATGAAATCAAGGAAACTGGAAACTTCAGAATCTATTCATCAGATGATAGTGGAAATTAACAAAACTCTCAATGCAGTTGAACTTGAAAAGGTCAGAAATATGGATAAGCCAATTCCTCTCTCTAATTCTAATTTGTTTACCAAAAGTCTTGAAATTGGGAAGGCAAAACTGCCAAAGATTAATCTCAAGAAATTCTATGATAATCCAATTTCCTTCAATCCATTCTGGGACTCATTTGCAAGAGCAGTCGATGACAACCCTGGTTTATCAGATGTTGACAAATTTAATTATTTGGGAAATTCATTAGAAGGGCCAGCTGCAGGAGCCATTCAAGGGCTACTGCTTGCACCAAAAAATTACAAGTCAGTTAAAGCCCTTCTAAAGAAATGATTTGGGCAACCCCAAGTGATCATTAATGCTCACATGAAGGGATTAGTCAAAATATCAGCTGTAAGCATTGACAATGATTTGAGATGTCTAGGCCTTCTTTGTGATGAAGTTGAGGCACAAGCTTTACAAGCCTTGGAAATAAACTCTGAATCATATGGGAAACTTTTGATTCCCTCCCTCGTGGAAAAAATTACCTCCAAATATGCCGTTGATAATTTCAAGGGCCATGGATCAACCATAATGGGACTTGGATGTTTTACTTAATACCTTCGACCATGAAATTGAAGTGAGAGGGCGACTGATCCTGACTGATCCTTCTACCTCTAAGAAGCCTTTCTGAGGCCATCAAGAAAAGTAAAGAGTTTTCATCAGCTTTAGCTCTTGTTGATCAGTCTGAGGGATCTGTAACCTGTACCTTCTGTAAGCAAGGGCACCCCAGCGTGAGTTGTGGTGTAGTCACTGACATCGAAGCCAGAAGAAATCTGTTGAAACGAGAGGGTCGCTGCTTTATTTGGCAAGGAATTGCTCTTAGGGCAAGGAATGCCACATTTGCTCAGGAAGACATCACATGTCAACTTGCGAGAAAGCCAACAGCAGTTGTGTTATCTTGGAAAGTGCTGCTCAAGGAAGGAACGTAACAACGTGGACTCAAACATGTCAATATGCTGCAAACGGCCAACGCCTCTGTGTCATGGATCCATCAACCTCATTCTGCTGTAACTATGTGCATTCTATTTGACAGTGGCAGCCAGCTGAGTTGCATTTCTGAATGAGCAAAAGAAAAAATCAGGGTCTGTCCCTGAAGAGAGAAGAGAAGCTACTCATCAAAATGTTTGGACAAGAAAACGAAGACTTAAGAGTGTGGCATTGTCAAATTCTGTGACAGAGGATTGAGTCAAAGTTCAGGCGTTCAGATGACTGTTCATAGAATCCCTCTTATCTGCAGTCCTTTGGTGAATCAAGCCGCACAGTTTGCTCAATAATCATACAGTCATCTGACAGACTTGAAACTTGCAGATCAACCATCTGAAGACTGTGATTCAGAAGTAGATGTCTTAATTGGCAAGGATTTCTATCGGTCTTTCTTCACTGGAGACGTGAAACGGGAGGAATCAGGACCTGTAGCGAGGAAGTCTTACATGGGTGTTATCGTGCCTTTGCCCCAAACACTAGGTTCAGATACTGATGTTCATTTAGTCAGAAGCCATACCTTGTGGCTAGACACCACCTCATGTGACGACAGGGTTACTGATAAGAGAATTTACGACCCACTGCTGGAACAAGTGAAAAAATTCTGGGAGTTAGAAGCTATTGGCGTGTCAACACAAGAAAAGACAATGCACGAGAAGTTCTTGGATACTTTTTATCCTTACAACAGCTGCTATGAAGTCTCTCTTCCTTGGAAAGAACAGCACGTATTACTACTTGATAACTATGCCCAAGCTGTTTCTCACCTGGCTTCTGTTCTAAAACATCTAAGAAAGAATCCTGGATTGTTTGAAGAGTACAACCACATCACTGAAGAGCAATCTTCATGAGGAATAATTGCTGATGTTAATCCCGACACACCAGTCGAAGTTGGCCATGTTCATTATTTACCGCATCATCCAGTTGTATGTGAAGATAAACAGATGACTAATATGAGGATAGTCTATGATGCATCCACCAAGTTTACTGGTCCAGCATTGAACAACTGCCTTCATGCAGGTCCATTATTGCTTTCTGAAGTGCCCAATGTTCTCGCGCGTTTCAGGTACCACCTAGTTGTTTTGGTGGCAGGCATTGAAAAAGCCCTCCTAATGGTCCAGATCAAAGAAGCTGACCGAAATGTTTTCCACTTTGTTCGGGTAGATGATACTGATAGTGGAAATCCAAACATTGTTGTGAAATGTTTCGATGGAGTTGTATTTGGTGTTGCAAGTTCTCCTTTTCTGCTGAATGCAACTATCAGACATCACATGACCAAGTATGAAGCTAATGATCCCCAGTTCATGAACAATTTTCTGACCTCTCTCTATGTGGATGACTTAAATGGGGGGAAAGACAGTGTCTCTGAAGCATTTGGGCTCTACAAAAAAAGAAAGATCAAGAATCACAGAAGCTGGATTCAATTTAAGTTAGTGGATTTCAAGTTCCTAGAGGCTCATGGAATGGATTGACAAAGGAGTACCCACCAAAGAAGTGGTTAAGCTATCTGAAGAAGACAGTATGTATGCACAGACCTAGTGTGGAGTCCAAGGTTGTTCCCAATCCGTTACAACCGCAAAGAAAATTCTTGGATTAAATTGGAACATTGACATAGACACCTTCTTTTTTCGATTTGACTGGCTGGTGGAATTCACTAAAGAACTTTCCATAAACGAGTGCACTGTACTTAAGGTTGTGGCTAAGTTGTATGATCCTCTTGGTTTTATTTCACCTCTCTTCATCCCAATCAAGACACTCTTTTAGGATTTATGCGAAGCAAAAATTGGCTGGGACGACCCTCTCAATGAGGAATTTTCTTTGAATTACTTGCAGTGGTAATCTGATTTGTCAAAAATGAATGTATCCCAATCCAATAATGTTTTTTTCTAGACAAGAGCGTAATTTCGCTTTAACTACATGGCTTCGGAGACAGCAGAAGTAGCATATGTGGCAGCTGGATATCTCAGAGTGGAAATGAGTCAAGGAGTCTATGTTTATTTGTTGATGAGTAAGTCACAGGTCATACTGCTTTATCCAGTGAAAGGTCAGTGGAATCTGTCTAGCAAAATATTTCATTAATCTTGACCAATGGAAGTAGGGCTGAATGGACTCGGGTAGTCAACTTGGAAATCCGTCAGAATGTGCCGCCTGAAGTGTGGAACCATTGTTCCAGAAGTCAGAAACCCACAGACCTGCCCTCCTGTGGTATGGGATCAGATGCGTTTATACAGTCACAAATATGGTGGCACAGTCCATTTTGGCCAGTGAAATAAAACAAGATTTGGCACTACTTTGGAAACTCCCATGAGCCTTCAAGTGCTTATTTTGAAGAAATGCATTCGAAGGACAATGGAAAGCCTACCTCTGGGGTTCTTATAGACTCTTTGATGATATCATATAGAGACTTTAAGAAGCTGATGTGATTAACAGCACTTGTGCTCAGAGCCATGAAGAATTTCAAAACTAGAATGCATGGTGAAGAACTGAGTAGCTCTTTGAGTACTGTGGAGTATGCTTACACAGAAATTGTATGGATCTGCAAAACAGTCCATAATCAAGTCACAGATTAAAAGAATTGAAACAACAGCTAGGATTGTACACAGATGAAAGTGAGTTGCTCTGATGTAATGAAAGACTACATCAGCAACATTGGAATTGGTTTTGCCTGACCATTGTTTTTTTTTAAGAGTGGCTATAATGAGAAGGGTGGTATGGAGAAAGTATACATCGTATTGTACACTTTTGGAAGTAGTAGAGCTGTTCATCTTGATGTTGTGCCGGACCTGAGCACGGAAACATTCATCAAAAGCTTTAAATGATTCATCTGCAGACGAAATATACCAAAGCTAGTTGTATCAGATAATGTCCCACCTTCAAGACAGCTGCTAAGTTCTTATCATCCCTCTTTGAGTTACCAGAAGTTCAGAGTTCCTCTTGAATCACAAGATGGAGCTAGTTTTTAGTGCCGTGGTGGAGCAGTTTCTTTAAAACACATGATTTGTTGTGTTAAACATTGTCTCAAGAAAATTTTGAAGAACACAAAGTTGATGTATGATGAGCTCTTAACTGCTAAAGTAGAAGTGGAATGTGTAAAGAACTCGAAACCACTCACCTATGTATCCTCAGATGATACAGAGGAACCCCTTATGCCTTCTCATCTGTTGATAGGGAGGAGAATTTTGTCCATCCCTAACAAATGTGCAACCACTGAAGAAGATGAAACTGATGTCCAACTCCTCACCAGAAGGCAACATTATTTGTCTGAATTGCTCGGTCAATTTTGGAATGCTGGAAACATGAGTACATAGTGGATCAAAGGGAGCACTACAGGCATGCTAATGAAGTTGCCAGGGTTGCACAATCAGATTTTTACACAGATCTAGAAACAGCCAAGTACCATTGAAGACCTTGAGAAAGTGAACCCCCCACATATCACTGCAAAACTTACCATCAAGCTTGAACTTCCTTAAGAGGGAAAGTGAATTAACTGTGTTGAGAATTTGCTGTCCACCATATACAACTTGACAAGCCTTACTTAATTTGCTAGCTAGATGTTGTAACTGGTTTTGCTTGCGTGCTGTTTGTTTTTAAAAATTCAAGAACTATGTCCTACAGTTTGGCAAGTTTTGTGGCAGGCAATGTCATCATGCAAGCAGTAGTGTCCAATTGCACTCCCAAGAAGGGTACATGCTGAGTTGGGGGGAACAAGTTTGTGTCGGCTGATGGTAAATCCCAGGTCCACCAGGAGGTGTAGAGGCGTATCATAGGCCAGTTTGCACCACTCAAGTGGATCCCCAATGATCAGAAAATCATCAAAGTAAACTATGACTTCAGTGAACCCTCTCCTTGGCCATCATACAGTGCACAGACTGCATAAAATGGTGGAATATTTCTGGAGAGCTCTTGGCACCGTATGGAAGCCTAGCATCGTACAAGTAAGTAATGTGCGCATCACCTGAAAATTTCCATTTTAAGCTGGTAAAGTGATAGTTTATCAGATGAATAGGGATGGAACAGTATGCATGTTGCAAATTGACTTTTGCCATGTAAAAATTGGGCTGAAACAATTTGTGAAGAGTTTGCATTTTAAATAATTTAGTTTCAATGTAGTCATTCACAGCCTGCCCATGTGGCCTAGAGCAGTGTTGACTAAGCCAAATTGTGAATGATTCGGGTTCAGGAATGGCTTCTAAAGCACAAAAAGATTCTTACTAAGATCATCCTATAAGATCAAATATTGTACAAGTTCTTTACAAGATCACCTGATTATATCTTCTAAAAGAATCTTACCAAGAATGTTATAAGATCTTGCTGGGATGAAACAAGATTCTTTCTAATATCACCTTATAAGATCTTATTGAGTATATGACAAGAAATCTTAAGAGATTACTACTAACCATACCTTATTAAGAATCTTAAGAGAAATCCTACAAGATCTCACCAAGATACAACAAGATTGAGTTTGACACAGCAAGATTGAGTTGACTAATGGTTGTGGGTTGTGGGTTGTGGGTACAAGTCGTGGGTGTGGGTGTGGGTGCAAGTCATGTCGGCAATAGTTAACAATTAATGGTTAATAGTTCATATTTGATAATAATGATAATATTAATAGTGCTTTTACTAGCAATTAGTTGTCATTATTGCAGAGGGAAATGGTAGGTCTGTGTTAGATTGTTGGTGTCTCTCTACTAATTGCTTACTGTGGCTTGCAAACTCTGCAAATTATGGAAAGGTTTTGATGGTGCATAAATGTTGAATGACAGTGAGTCTATGGTGCAGTAAAAATGACTTGGTTGGGCACATGTCAGGGCTTTTCTACAATTTAGGCCTTCTAACAAGGTGCAGAGTGTAATATTATGCAAAGGAGAAAGACTCAACAACCTTTTTTTTCTGTGGTGTATGCTCAAATCTACAGGACTTGTACTTAAACTTCTTTGAATGCATGTTTCCCTTGCAGAGGAATTCCTCATGCTTCTTCTCTTTTGACTTAACTTGATGAACACCTTAAACTGGGTCACTGACTGACTTCATTCGTATCTCAGCAATGTCTTCACTGTGACAAGTGGCATTATATCCAACATGAAATATCTCATCCTAAGAAGCTTCTTGGTGGCTTGCTTTTCTTTAGGCCAAGGAGAATTTGGTTGTAAATTAGACTGTCATATAAGGAATTACAGAAATTGCAGGACTTTGCCAATGTCTTCAAACAGGAAACAAAATTTTTTAAAGATTGAGTGGGAAGTTTGTCCCTCATGTTTATACAATATCTTTTATATGTCTCAGTAACTTTACCCATGCAATATTTTTTCCATACTCTTCCTAAAAATGTGCTTATCGTGTGTTTTGTTTCTCTGTGCACCTAAAAGTCTTGATCATTTCAAATACATCTTGAGAATAGCATGCTTCACCATCATGACATTTAAAAGGACTTTAGTGGTAGAAAATTCTCGCACTTCATTCCTTTGCTTGCTTTTTATTTGTGTTTTCATTTCTCGTTTTTGTTTTCTATTTACATTTGTGTTTTTTAAAAGGGAGACAGTCTGTGGCTCAAAAGATATCATCCAAGCTCTCTCTACACAATGCTAACAGGATCCTAGATCAGATCAAGACCAACAACTAATGAGTCTTCAAAACCACCAAAGAAGGACATTGATAAATGTTTTGGAAGCTTTTGCAGGAGAAACAGGCAGCTGTGTCACAAATAAACATGCTGCATGTTCATGTAACCAACTGAGTTGTTCATCTATCTCCTAGCTTCCTAAGCAACTCTGAGACTGCCTCACTGAAGAAGCCCAAACGTTTCACCATAACTCTTGACAATTAACCTGCCACATAGATTACTGACGAAGTTGAATTAGTGATCAAACCACTCTATCCCAAAAAAGCACTGTCTGTAGAGCTGTTAAGGGGATCCCACAAAAGGCAAGACCACCTTTGCAAAGGAAATGTAGGATGCACTTAGACCCCTGAAAGAGGACCAGTCCATCTAGGTTCTACTAGCAGACAAAGGATGTACTACTGTAGTCCCCAACACCTGTCAGACCAAGATGTCCTCCCTGAACCAAAGCAGACTGTATCAGTGCTTAAACAAAGATCCAACAGACTGCCTGATGAGGAAGTTGTCTGAGAAACTGCTAAGCTTGAAACAACAAGATCGGACCACAACACAAACAGTTAGTTACCTAGAATCTAGCATTTGCTAATGATTCATAAAGCAGATATACCTCTGACACCAATGGTGTCATACATTAACAGCTTTGCATATGATTTGTCCTCTCATTTAGCTAACATCTTATCCTTGCTAAGAGGTAACTCAGATTTTATGGTGTTTAACTTGGCCCACTTTCTATCTATCATCATTGGCAAAATGATTTAAAAAAAGGGAGTTCATATGATTTAGAATCGTTTACAAACATTCCAATCAACACAGCTGTACAAGCCTACTTGGCAAAAACTGGAGAATGATCCAAGC